AGAGATTTTCCTATGAGACTGATCCGTGTTGTGGGGGCTATGCCCTGACACCTCTGCTGTTTTGGGTTTCCTAAAAGCCATTTGGTCATAGACAGAGAACGTTTCTTAAATTTGGTCATAGACAGAGATCGTTTCTTAACTTTGGAGCAAGAGTGCCCTCCCTCATGCACTCAAAAAGGAGAAAGCTAAGGAAAGGTTGTCCTATCTCAAACGTTCAGGGAAACAATTTGCAGAACTCCTATTTTACACTTCCCTAGGATTCAACAAAATCTCCTATCTAGCCCAGGAGAAAACCAGCTTCAAAAAACCAGAAATTCCACCAAGACGGGAGGTTCATTGATTTTGGGAGGAACTCATCTGCAAAAATCAGCCAGGGCATCCGAGTTCAGGAACACAATGTATTCATTGCCAGTACCTGCACAAAGGTCACAAACTGCACTATGTGGTCCAGGGAGGTCACTCTAAAATTCTGCCAAAATTCTACACCAGAAAGTTGACCAAAATTAAGCCTGTTGAGAAAGAAATAATTTGATAATGGTTTATTGAAAGCCCAAATGTGAGGATCAACCTAAGAAAACATACCAACAAAGTTAAAAGTGTTCCAGAGTCTGTTACATGTTGGAATGCTTTTGTAGGTAGGGTCAGGAGAAGGAAGAGGGATTCCTCACACCAGAATTGTCCTTTCTTATTGGAGGATACAATATATATACAATTTGATCATTGAATTCAGATTGCAACATACAGGCTCAAATGCCTTCATGTAAGACAATCAGTAAAACTTTATGATTCAGAAATAAGTCAGCACTCTTTCCAGGATCAGTGGGGTATGCATTAATCAGTGTGTAAACAATTTGAGGATCTCATCATGAGATTCGGGGACAGGATTTAGCCATGAATCACAAGACCTTCCCAAGGGAAGCCTGTTTACTTACAAATTAAACTGTTGAAAGTGGCATGTAGGTTTTCACTGTCCTTTCTCTGCTTGCCATGTGGATGCAGAGAAAAGGGGGTCTGCTGAACCTGAAACTGACCCAATTGTCCCATAGAACTGATGTTTATAGTTTCTTCTGAATAAACATGAAAATTGAGCCCCCAGTTTTGAAACCTCAGAAAGGTCAACTTGTCTTATCTGAGATCCCTTCTCAGGAAACCAACCATCAGGCCTCTCAGGTTGTATCAAGGAGCTGAAATTCACCATGTCACCACATCTCGACAATGCGACCCAGACCCCTCACGCCCCATGGCTGCCTAAGTGACTATCTGTTTCTTGTTGACATATTCTTTTCTTTACCCCTAATTCCTGCTTTCCTTCGTGTAGTTACATTTCTGCCCTATAAACTCCTCATTTTAGTCAGTTAGGGAGATAGATTTGAGACTGATCTCCCATATCCTTGGCTGCAGCACCTAATTAAAGCCTTCTGTTGTCTCAGTGATTGGCTTTCTGTGCAGTAAACAGCAGGACCTAGATCAGGGTGTTTCAATAAGAGATTTTGGTTCCCCAACAGGAAACATGTTGTTTGTGGCTTGGCTGCCGTGGGCCATGAGTCTCAGAGGCCCTCCTAAGCAGCTGCCCACCCAGTTGTGACTAGAGTGAATTTTGGTTTCTCTCTGACCCTGCTGCTTCTGGCCCCAACCACATTCTTGATTGCCTAGAAAGAACAGCCTTTGAAATTTTACATCTGCCTCTGGATAGATGAGTGTCCTCTGTGGGCCCAGACAGCAAGATCTGCTCTTCTCTATTGGTGAACATTTTGAAGGAATTTCCGTTTGCAGGTTGGAAAAGCCCATATGACTGAGAGAGGGAAGCACCCTGACTGTTTTGGCATGGACTTTCTTGATGGCTTGTTTGTAATTGTGTGTGTGTCTCAGCAACTGAGTGTTCATTGCAGGTTCCAGACAGTGGGATTGGCTCCTCTTGATTTGGGAAGCTCCAAAGGAATTTCTGTTTACAGGTTGAAAAAGCCCAACCGATGGAGAGAGGAAAGCACCCTGACTATTTTAGTTGGAATAGTCTTGGGGCATGTTTGTTGTGGCAGCAGATGGATCATTGCGTTTTGGTGATTCTGTGTGTGTCGATATAGTTGAATTAGAATTTGATAAACTGATATTCTTTTGTAATACTGTTTAGCACCAATATTTTTTGGAATTTGGAGTTTCATCATGTTGGCCGACTGGTTTCAAGCTCCCGACCTCAAATGATCCACCTGCCTCAGCCTCCCAAAATGCTGGCCCCAGTGTTCTTTGGAGACTGGGGAGATTTGGCCTTTAAAAATCAAACTTCCATGAAAACTGCTTCACCCACACTTTTGGTGCACAGCCTTCACTGGATTACCTGCCAAGGCAAAGTTTAGCCATGTTAACATGTTTGTAGACTGGTGAGTTTGTATTGCTATCTCATGGACAGAATTATTTTGTTCAGGTGTATACATATTTAGATGTGTTCATGTGTATGTACCTTTATTATGTTATATGTATGCCTACCAAATTGACTTATTAAAGAAAACGTGCTGGCCAGGCATGGTGACTCACGCCCATAATCCTAGCACTTTCAGAGGCCAAGACAGGTTGGTTGCTTGAGCTTAGACATTCGAGACCAGCCTGGGCAACATGGTAAAAAACCTCATCTCTATAAAAAATACAAATAAATAAAAATAAAAGAGTGTTCATTAATTAAGTTCAAATATTTTTCAAGTTCATATGACTTAAGAAAATCTTTAATAAACAAGCTGGCTTTACAATTACTGGTAAAATAGCCAGGAACGGTGGCTCATGCCTGTAATCCCTGCACTTTGGGAGGCTGAGACAGGTGGCTCACCTGAGGTCAGGAGTTCAAGACCAGCTGGCCAACATAGAGACAGCCTGTCTCTACTAAAAGTACAAAAATTAGCTAGGCGTGGTGGTAGGTGCCTGTAATCCCAGCTACTCAGGAGGCTGAGGCAGGAGAATCACTTGAACCTGGGAGGTGGAGGTTGCAGTGAGCTGAGACAATGCCATTTCACTGCAGCCTGAGGGACAAAAGCAAGACTCCATCTCAAAAAATATATATATATATATATAAACATTTCTATTTTTATTTTACATATATATATATATGTGTGTGTGTAAAATAAAAATAGAAATGTTTTCAGAATTGTTAGCATAAATTTCTCTCTGGGTTTCATATTTGTCTCTGCTAGATATTTTGAGGTGTCAGAGTTTGGCACAGAAGGTTATAAAACTATAAACCAGCCAGGTGTGCTGGCTCATGCTTGTAATCCTAGCACTTTGGGAGGCTGAGGTGGGTGGATCACCTGAGGTCAGGAGTTCAAGACCAGCCTGACCAACATGGTGAAACCCTATTCCTATTAAAAATACAAAAAAAAAAAAAAAAAAAAAATTAGCCAGGCATGGTGGTGGGCACCTGTAATCTCAGCTACTCAGGAGGCTGAGGCAGGAGAATCACTTGAACCCGGGAGGCAAACGTTGCAGATCATGCCATTGCACTCCGGCCTGGGAGACAAGACCAAGACTCTCTCTCAACAACAACAACAACAACAATTAATTTAAAAAAAAAAAAAAACTATAAACCCAGCCAAACAAAATGATCTTTCTTTTAATAAGAAAGACTAATTTAACATTGTTGATTTAATGAAAACACTTGAATCTTCCGAGTTACTGGTGAAAATACCCATGTAGCTAATTTAAGGTTCTTATTAGGTGAACATTTGAAATTCACAGGTTATAAAATGGTTACCAAGGAAATGATGCATAAATAATCTAATAAACTACTGAGTTTCATCTGTTACAACAAAAGGAGAAACAGTTACAAGGTCCCACACCAGGGCAAGCTCAGGCACTCCCTGTGGAGATGTGCCCAAGGAATGGCTCCAAATAGGCCCCTCAAATTCTACCACTGAAAAGGAACATATGGGCAGATGTATCTTACAGCCTAGAATTTTCTCATATATGTGACTTTAGTCTCTTCTTTGTATAGTGATTTTGTAGATGAAGAGAAATTACCACACCATGCCAAGAAATTACAACATACCAAGTTGACTAAGTCATGGGGGCTCTTCCTCCAGGTTCCCAGAGCAAAAAGCAAAAAACCTTGTACTCCCTGGTGCCCACCTGATCATCTTGTCCGTGGATTTTCCCTCCCAGAGGCACTGCTGCAGGCCCAGAGCCCTCCAAGCAGAGAACTGACATCCAGGAACTCCTCCCCAAGCCCTTTCTTCAACTCATTTTTGCTTATGGCAAGAGTGTGGGTTGTAGTGATATCTCAGAAGTTTATTCCATCATATTAATTTCTCAGTAAATCACCCTTTGACAAGTCAGTTTAAAGGATACAACATAGACAGCTAGAAAAGACACTGCTTTTTGCTTGTTTGTTTGTTTTTGTTTTGTTTTGTTTTTTGAGACAGAGTCTTGCTCTGTCACCAGGCACCAGGCTGGAGTGCAGTGGCACCATCTCAGCTCACTGCAACCTCCGCTTCCCAGGCTCAAGCAATTCTCCTGCCTCAGCCTCCTGGGTAACTGGGACTACAGGCGCACACCACCACGTCCAGCTAATTTTTTTGTATTTCTAGTAGAGACGGGGTTTCACCATGTTGGCCAGGATGGTCTTGATCTCTTGACCTCATGATCCACCCTCCTCGGCCTCCCAAAGTGCTGGGATTATAGGCTTGAGCCACCGCACCTGGCCGAAAAGACACTATTTCTGGGCCTGGTTTTGCCAGCTGTATAATAAATGGATCAAATTGTCTCCAATTCATCCTATTTTTGTCACTAGCCATGTCAGAATCTCTGCTTTCATAAACAAAACTTTTCTGGCCTGACACACAACCTCTATCTCCTGAACTTTTCTGCAGACCAAAATGTTTTCTGAGACCTCCACTCAGTAATCTTTAATATTTCAAGGAGAGAAATTTACAAGTGTGCCCTTGATACATAAAAAGGTCACATATTCTAGGGTCCCAGGGTCTCACTGATTTCAGTGATGTCTACATTATCTCCCCTTCTAGCCGGGAAATTCAAATATTTGTAAGGTGTGCAACAAAGGAGGAACGCTGTTTTGCTGTGACACTTGCCCACGATCCTATCATGAACGCTGCCACATCCCGCCTGTGGAAGCTAATAAGTGAGTAAGATGTGTTCCCTTCCCTGAGCCCTCCTTCTTGTGGTACAGCTCCTCCCACCACTCATGCATACTCTGTAGAGTTTCTGTCCCTGGTTACACGTGTCTTGATGCATAAGGAGTATGCTCCTTGGTATCAGGATCCACAAGTATTATTCAAAGCTGTTGAACAGTGCCGGCAGCAGCAGATTAATGGGAAGCAAAAACTCTTCGAGTGGTTATGGGGTGCAATAGTAAGAGGTGTCAACCTCCACCTCCCCTACTTGGCTCCCAGACTCATGCCCTCTGACGGAGTGATGCCATCATACACTGCCAGCTGGTTTAAAGGATATGCCATCTGCTGTGGGACCATCACACAGCAGGTAAAGCCAGTGCTGCAGCAGTTTATCAAGCCAACTGACTTAGTCACAGGTCACATGTCGAGACCTGTGAATTCTGCAGGTATAAGTCCCCTGCCCACTTTCTTTGCTAAAAAATGCCCCTTTGGATAGAGGTGATGGTGTGCAGGATACCATGGAGATTGATAAGGTGCTCTGTGAGTGGTGTCGTGGACAGAATTATTAAGGCTGAGAGGATGATCTCTACCAGGAATGTATCAGTCTCTATGAGGGCAGAGCATTGCTCTTTCATAATGGAGGAAGCTAATGTGATCCATCTGCTCTCAGGGTGTCATCTCAGGGGATCAGCATAAACCTCTGCTTTTGACCAGTTGGGCAATCTGCAGAGGCAGAAGAAAAATCAGCTTTTTTGTTGAACCCATGGATAGACCCCATCTCTGCACCAGAGATGCAAAGTCTTCTCAAAGGAGCACTTCGTAACAGGCTCCTTGAGCAAGCACTACACGGCCAAGGAGATGCTGGCATCACTAGGATGGGTCATTGTGCTTGCCTGATTATCAAAAGCCTTCTAGCAGACAGCCTGGTAGAAAAGGTTGGAGAATGAATCTTGGAGCACATGGAAGATATCTGACACCCTGTCCAGAGATTTCCTTTTCAAGAAGTTTCTGCAGCACAGATTCTAGGTATAAGATATAGCAGGGCCAAGGGAGAGGGCCTATAGCCTGTGCTCTGTGCTTACTCAGTAAAGTTGAAAAACAAGTCCTTGTCTTCTGATTTTTCTATGATCTGATTGACTCATTGAGGCCCAAGACTGTACTTAAGGCATTCATTTACAATAACTGACTGGCAAACAGGGCTCACTATTAAGTTCCCAGTGGCTCAGATGGGGACCCCAAGTTTTGAGGTGAATGAGATTCCATCACTTACTGGGCACTTCACCAAACAGATGATCACCCCTGCTACCGATATTGGTGGGAGGTCATGCCTTTGGCTATTGAGTCCAAACGGGGCTCTAGTGCAGAGGCCTCCAAGAAAGAAGTTGGATACAAGGTGGAAACCACCAATCATTCTTGAGCAGAGAATTTGAACAATGGTAGGAATGGCGGCTGATTCACAGAACTTGCCATTGCTCATTTTATGCCCAATCTCTCAGGGACCCGTGGAGTTGCATCTTCTGCAGGATAAAGGCTATTCAGGAAAGATGCCCAGAAAGCCAAGCATGGCATCAGGAATCTGAAGTCCTGATGAGGGAGATGCTGCCCGAGGAGCAGTTGGTGAGTTAAAAACGTGAATTTGAAGCCTCCTTTTTTCTGTTCACCTGGGCAGGAGAAGCACAGTCTTGAAAAGAGCTCAAGAAATAGAGCCCAAAGGCAAACTGCTGGCCCATGGTGTGCTTTCCTCCATGACATAACGCTAAACTTCATATTCCAAAGAAAATCCCCTGGTCCAAAGAAAATCCCCATTCCATGTTTTCTTCAAAGAGTCCACAGGTTTGGGAGTCACGTGTTCTCTTTGGGCATGCATAAGAGCTCTTTCTCTCTAAACTGCATTTAACTTGAAATGTCCTCCATCTTTTGCAGAAATGTGAATTCCTTCTCTTGAAGGTCTACTCTGATTCAAAAAGCCCCTTTTTTGCCTCAAAACCATATTATGTAAGTAACAACCAAAAAAACAAAAAAGCTTAAACTGGCATTTTTCAGATCTGTGATCTGAAATCCGTGGTACCAGGTGCCATTCTATTTGCCTTGTTGATGAGTTTTTAGTTCAGGCTACTATAAAAATTTATCATAGATTAGGTGGCTTAAACAACAAAAATGCTTTTCTCACAGTTATAGAGGTTATGTGTCCAAGATCAGGGTGGCAGCCGGGTTGGGTTCTGGAGAGGGCTGCCTTTTAGGTTGCAGAGAGCCACCTGCTCCTAAGTGGCAGAAAGAGATGGAGAGAACTCTCTGGAGTCTCTTTTATAAGAGCCCTAATCCTATGTATGAGGGCTCCACCCTTCTTAACTCATGACCTCCCAAAGGCGCCACCTCCTAGCACCTTCACAGGGGGGTTAGGATTTCAACCTACAAATGGGACAGCCAACAAACCTTTATTCCATAATAGTGGGAGTCTATGGGAGGCAGGCTTGGCACTAGGCTGATAACCTCACTTTGGTCCTTTTCTCAGCAGAACAGAGAGGGGTCTCGGGGCCCACAGAAGCCCATGTGGTTAAACAAAGTCAAGAGAAGACTGAATGAGCAGGTGTACTCCCGAGTGGAGGAGTTCGTGCAGGATATGCGTCTCATCTTTCATAATCACAAGGAATTTTACAGCGTGAGTGGCTCTCCCTGCTTCCTTTTCTCTTCTTTAAAGTCACTTTCCTTCTTATCTTTTTATATTAGGCAAATGTTACAATGGCCCTTATCATGTGACAAGCCTATACAAGCACAAACCCTGGAAGTATCCTAAAAGCCCTGTGGTGGATGTGGGGAAAATAACAAACTGAAAGGTGTCATTAAAAACCTGACCCTAGAACCTCAGAGTTGACTCACTTCTAGATGGTTTGTTTTCACCGTAGAGAACAGTAGGATGCAGACCCATTTGTTTCTACTGGAAGTAGAAGTGAACTTTTAAGGCATTTAAAATGTTTTCCTTCTCTAGAAGAAGGTACCAAATCAAAGGTCTTTATATCTGAATTTCCTGGCACTGTTTCAGAAATTAACAAGGATTATGACAAGGGGTGAGAGTGAAGAGAAAGGAAGGCATCATTGTCTTAGACATTTCTGTACTATCATAAGGTTACCGAAAATTGCTGTGCATAAAAATCACACAACTAAAATTTTAAAATTTAAATTAACCCATAAGCTTTTGATCAGGAATTGGATTTCAGTGTAGTACTATTTTGGCTTCTCTGTCTTCCAGATAAAGATAAATAATTATCAGGGAACATAAGCAACTCTTAAATGGATTAATGCTCACTTAACATTTGGGACAGCCTAAAATGAGGCCCTGGATCACCTGCAACACTGGGTGTCTCAGCACATTGCACAGTTGTTTTTATTTTTGTTTGTCTTTGCTTTTTCAGGAAGATAAATTCATCACACTGGGAATTCAAGTACAGGACACCTTTGAGAAGAATTTCAAAAACATTTTTGCAATTCAGGAAACAAGCAAGAACATTATAATGTTCATTTAGCTCATTCTTATCTCATTCCTTCAGACCCTCCTGCAGCTAGCTACCCAGTGTGCTTGTGGTCCCACTAAACGGACTACTCCTGTGGAAACTCCACATCACACTTCTTCTCCAAAGTTTTTCATTGCCATTTTAAAACAGTCTCATCAGCTTTTAATAAAATTCAACACCCCTTCATGTTAAAAATTCTCAATAAGCTGGGTATTGAGGGAACAAATAATAAGAGCATTTATGACAAACCCACAGCCAACGTTATACAAATGCACAAAAGACAGAAGAGTTCCCCTTGAAAACAGGTACAAGATGAGGATTCCCTTTCTCACCGCTCCTAGTCAACATTGTATTGGAAGTCTTAGAGCAGCCAGGAAGCAGAAAGAAATAAGGGCATCCAAATAGGCAAAGAGGAAGTCAAACTTTCCCTGTTTGCAGACAACATTGATTCTATAGCTAGAAAGCCCCCAAGTCTCAGCCCAAAAGCTCCTTCAGCTGATAAACAACTTCAGAGAAGTTTCAGGATACAAAATTAGTATACAAAAATTACTAGCGTTCCTATACACCAACAACAGCCAAGCCAAGAGCCAAATCAGGAGTGCGATCCCATTCACAATTGCCATAAAAAGAATAAAACACCTAGGAATACAGCTAACCTGAAAGGTAAAAGATCTCTACAATGAGAATTACAAAACACTGCTCAAAGAAATCGGAGATGACACAAACAAATGTAAAAACATCCCATGCTTATGGGTAGAAAGAATCAATATCATTAAAATGACCATATTGCCCAAAGCAGTTTACAGATTCAATGTTATTCCTATCAAACCACCAATGACATTCTTCACAGAACTAGATAAAACTATTTTAAAATTCATATGGAACCAAAACAGAGCCCAAATAGTCAAGGCAATCCTAAGCAAAGAGAACAAATCTGGAGGCATCACATTACCCAACTTCAAACTATGTTACAGGGCTTCAGCAGCCAAAATAGCATGGTACTGGTACCAAAAAAAGGCACATAGACCAATGGAACCTGACGAAGAGCACAGAAATAAGACCACACACCTACAATCATCTGATCTTTGACAAAGTTGACAAAAACAAGCAATGGGGAAAAGTCTCCCTATTCTATAAATGGTGCTGCGATAACTGGCTAGCCATATGTAGAAGATTGAACCTGGACCTCTTCCCTACACTATATACAAAAATCAACTCAAGATCAATTAAAGACTTAAATGTAAAGCCCAAAACTATAAAATTCCTGGAAAATAACCTAGGCACTACCATCCTGGACATAGAAACAGGCAAATATTTTATGACAAAGACAAAAGCAATCACAACAGAAGCAAAAATTGACAAATGGGATCTAATTAAACTTAAGAAATTCTACACAGGAAAAGAAACTATCAACAGAGTAACAGACAATCTACAAAACGGGATAAAATATTTGCAAACTACGCATCTACAAAAGGTCTAATATCCAGCATCTACAGGGAACTTAAACAAATTTACAAGAGAAAAACAACCCCATTAAAAAGTGGGCAAAGGACATGAAAAGACACTTTTCAAAAGAAGACATACAGGTGGGCAACAAGCATATTTTAAAACTTCAATATTACTGGTCATTAGCGAAATGCAAATTAAAACTACAATGAGACACCATCTCACACCAGTCAAAATGGCTCTTACTAAAGGGTCAGAAAATAACAGATGCTAGTAAGGTTGCAGAGAAAAGCGAACATTTGTATACAGTGGGTGGGAGTGTAAATTAGTTCAACCATTGTGGAAAGCAGTGGGGCAATTCCTCAAAGAAATAAAAGCAGAACTGCCATTCAACCCAGCAACCCCATTACTGGGTACGTACCCAGAGAAATATAAATTATTCTACCATAAAGACATATGCATGCAAATGTTCATTGCAGCATTATTCACAATAGCAAAGATATGGAATCAACCTAAGTGCCCATCAATAACACACTGGATAAAGAAAGTGTGGTACATATATACCATGGAATAGTATGCAGCCATAAAAAAGAATGAGATCATGTCTAAGGAACATGGATAGAACTAGAGGCTATTATCCTTAGCGAACTAGTGCAGGAACAGAAAACCAAATACTGCACATTCTCACTTACAAGTGGGAGCTAATTGATGAGAACTCTTGAACACAATGAAGGGAACAACAGACACTAGGGTCTACTTGAGGGTGGAAGATGGGAAGAGGGAGAGGAGCAGAAAAAATACCTATTGGTGTTGAAATAATCTATACAACAAACCTCTGCGACATGAGTTTACCTATATAACAAACCTTCACATGCACCCCCGAACCTAAAATAAAAGTTTTTTAATTGTAAATAAATTGATCATTAATGTAAAATGTTTTAATAATCAAATTGTCTTATCAAGTTCTCTTATTGAATAATTTGGAGCAAATTATTCAATAAGAATATTGAAAACATAAATTCTTCTCATAAAGGACCATATTTTATCCTTCCATTTATTCAGTTTTGTACTTGTTGTAACTGTGAAAGTAATCCTTTCCCATTAAATTTTATTTACTGATTATTACCTATTACAGAAAGCTACTGTTATTTATATATAATTTTGTCACTGATTACCATACTGAATACTAGATAGCATCATTTTCATCTTTTACCCGGTGGCATCGGGAAGCCTGTGGTGGCTACGTAACATCCCCAACTTTCAATTCATGGAATCCTAATTGATTTAGGGGATGGAAGCATTCCTCACCGGGCACTAAAACCTCTGATAATTCTTGTTTCTGTTGGAAAATGATTCTGCCAGGGCACCCTGATGTATTTGTATGTGTAAAGGAGGAAAACGTAATTTTTCCAATATCCGTCTAAGTTTCCCCTACCCAGATCCTCTGGGGCCCCTGTAACAAAAGACAGATTAACAAGAGAAAAACAGAAGTTGGTTAGCATGTATATAGCAAGAGAAAAATAGAAGTTTATTAGCATATATACACATACATGCATATATGTGTGCATGTGTACATATATATATATATATATATATATATATATATGTACACACATATGGGAGATACTCAGAGAAATGAATAACTCTCCAAGAGGTAGTTGAGACTTCAAAGTTAAATACCATCTCCAGCTAAAGACAAAGAAAGAAGAATGTGGGAAAGTCAGTTACAGGGATGACCAGGAAGAACATGGTAAACAAGAGTAAGGTTTGCTGCGCAGATTTCAGCTGTATTCTCCATTGATAAGAGTCCCTTGTGATTTAGAATCATCCTTCTTTTCCTGGTTCAGAGAGGGAGACATCCTTATGAATAGAAATTTCCTTTGTAAATGTAAACTTTCCTAACCAAGAAGTAACTTCTACTCTGTTTTTAGAGCTTCTCCTATGTCTCCTATTTCTGAAAATAATCCTTATGCCAAAGAAGCATATTCTAGGGTGGCATATTCTGGCCTCCCATACATGTCTCCACATAGACCCCAGAGGCAGAACTTAACTGCAGCTGATTGATCTAAGTCTTGGCAGAATACCTGTGGTCCTTCCAGAACATTTGCACATGGAACGCATGAGAGGAGCTGCTTGAAGGCCATTCCCCACTCTCCTGCTCATCTTTTGGAGGCTACCATGACACTCATTACTTCCTAGGTTCTGATAAGGTCTGAGGCTTTCTATTTCACCCCCACTAGGTAGCCTGTGATATAAAATCCATTGTAGTAGGAAAAGCAAAGTGGAGACCCTTGAAATTGCCATCCCCCAAGCAAAATAATGCAATTGCAGGGATTGGCACTCTCAATGACCTAAAAAATATCAACTGGTCTCCAAAATATCCCTATTCAATTCACTTGTATGTCACCATCTCTGTTAAAAACAGATCACTGTCTTCATTGCTCGATGTCCAGTGTTATGTAGATTGCATGGATTTAGTTTTTTCAGGTGGGCGGGTAAATCTGGTCCCTGTTCACTCTCTTGGTCTCGTTAATCAACAAATTTTTAAGGCACTCAACTTCTCTATTAATAAAGAGGACTTTTTACAGATAAACTGTGAAAAATTTTAAATGTTTAGTGTATAATATGTTAAGTTTTAAAAGGTAATAAAACAGTAAAATGTACAAAATATATGCTATGTTTGTATACATGTATAAAGTATATTTATAAATTTACAAAATATTTTATACATTTATAAAGTACATTTAAATTTTTATACTTATAATTTTTATATGTGCACACTAAAATGTATAAAAGGATGTAACCAATGTTTATAAGGAAGATATATATTATAATATTTGATATTTTCTAATAAAAAATGCTAATGATATGAATATTTTGAAAAAATATTAGCACTTTGGCTCCAACTGAAGCAAAGCACAGATCATTCCACCACCCCAGGGATGGGCCCATGGCCACCAGGAGTACAATGTTTCTTTGAAAATAATTCACCATATCAGAAAGGAAGGAGGCTCACTGTGCAGACCACTGTCTATGGAAACTTTGAAGGCAATAAAATAGTATTCAATTCTATGGGGATCGTCTCTGGATCCAGCTGTGGTTTTTTCAGAAAGGCAAAACATGGCACAGTAGTAGCAGTTCCCAAAGTAACGAAATCAGGGGTTTTTCCATGATCCATCCAGCACTATGGCCAGTCTCAGCACAGATTCCACCAAACGCTCAGCACAAAGCAACAATAATTCAGATTGCAGAATTCGAACACAATCTATGGGGGCCATTGAAAAACTGAAATTCTCTGAGAGAAAAAAGTCTTGAAGGGTCACTAGACCTGATAAATTATAAAGATGTTGCCCAGCAAACTGGAAAATTACCCTTTTTTCCCCTCTGGAGGAAGAATTTATATTGGGAGTTCTCAACTATGGTATAAAGTATCAACATCAGATCAGCGCCATGTTTTGCATAGGCATGCTCTATTCTTAATCATCAGATGTTATGTTATGATGATGGTCTGGAGGCAGGAAGAAGTTTAGTGACTCTGAAGACCATGCACTTGTGAGCAATGAAGAATACAGCCTGTGGGTTTATCAGTGCAACAGACTGGAACAAGCACAAGCAATCTGCAAAGTTTTACCCACTGATTTTTGACCCTATCTTGACATTAGCGGAATCTTCAATTCTGCAACCTAGTGGAAGTCAACTTAATCTGAAGGTTCAGCTGTTCTCTAAATAGTAGTTTTGTTTTCGATCTGCAATGTTGTACTTTTCTGGAAATATGAAGTAATTCCTTGCTCCAGAATTTCTAAAAAAAAAAAAAAAAAAAAGCACACTGTATAAAATATTGATCATTTCTTTTTATATTAAAATATAGTCATATTAATCAGTGGAAAAAAATAAAAATTATAAATTGCCTTTTCAAAAGCCTATCAACAAGTCCAGGCATGGTGGCTCATGCCTGTAATCCCAGCACTTTGGGAGGCCAAGGTGGGCAGATCACTGGAGGTCAAGAGTTCAAGAACAGCCTGACTAACATGGCAAAACCCCACCTCTACTAAAAATACAAAAATTAGCTGAGCATGGTGGAGTGCACCTGTAATCCCAGCTACTTGGGAGGCTGAGGCACAAAAATTACTTGCACCTGGGAGGCAGAGGTTGCAGTGAGCTGAGATTGCGTCACTGCACTTCAACCTAGGTGACAGAGCAAGACTCAATCTAAAAAAACAAAAACACTGTCAACTGAAAAATCACACAATATATAAATTTAGAAAGGAGATTTGACTTCTTCATAAAGGGTTACAGCTAGCAAGGTGGCCATCCTGACAGACTGGGAAGCATAGCCTCCAGCAGAGCCTGAAGGGCAGACACTTTAAGGGAGGGGAAATGGAACAGGAATTAATGCTGAATGAGTTGGCCAAGTATACATATTAAACAGTGTCAAATACAAGAAGTTTCTCCTCAAAGGGTTTAGTTAGTTCCCTTGTTCTTTGCTCCCTGCTTTCAAGGCCAGATTTCCCTACCCTTTATGCCTCCCTGCCCTGGTTTCAGTAAACAACTTTCCCTCCAGTCCTAATCTACAAGCCACATCTGCTACTCCTCTGTAAATTACCCCTCCTGCCACAATGGCTCTTCTCACCAAAACTGCTCTTCCCTCCTCATTATGCACACCCCTGTGCTGTTCAAGTTAACCAATTGGGTTCAACTTAAATTGTGCAGTCCAACTCCAGCCAATAGAGGCAGGACACAGTAACAGGGACAAACTGCATTAGAAATAAAAACCTCTTCCCTTCTTTGTTTGGTGTGCTCTCATGGCAACCAGCCCTGAGAGCACCCTTCTGCAGAAGTAAATTTGCCTTGCTGAGAGATCCTTTGCTTGAATACTCATTTACTTTGTGACTCCAAGCTTTTATTCCCAACAAACAGGTTACATGAGGCTCTATGAATATTCCTGAGGGAAGATCACACACATGCATGCAGGCTGAATAAATACACATGTTACATATGACCCGTGTTCACTTTTGGGTAGAGACAACATTAAAAGGCAGTAAAATTGGGCTCCATATGTCAAAAGGTCAAACA